TTTCACCAAAATGTAGGCGAGAACACTGTGTTTATGCATCATATCTATGGAGAAAAAATATTAGAATTTTTTTCCTCCTTTTTTGGTGACTTGGGAGTTATGACATGAAGAAAATGGTTTGTTTGTTCTTTCTCATTTAAATCTACTCCAGGAGGTCTTGCATCATTTTAATATGATGCTGACTGATCTTCTGTGAAGTCTATTTTGTTAATTTGGAAAGCCCTAATATTTAATTAGGTTAGTTTATCATCAGCTCTCTCTGAATCCGTGTAGAGAATTCTAGTAACTGCTTGAATTTCCTACCGTCTCATTAACCTTTTAAAGAAAAGCCACAGGAATTAGTTTTACCTTCTTAAATTGCTTGTTTACCATTTATTAAACACGTACCACATACTGAGCAGTTCACGTGAAAAATTAGTCTTTATCTACGAGAATTTGGTAATTGTAATAAGAAGTTAAGATATACAGTGGACATATAAGAAATATATATGTGTGTATGCATGAGTGTGTGAGCATATATGTATATATGCATATATATGTGTGTATATATATATATGTATATATATACTGTGCTTAAATTCTGCTAGGTTTATTTCCTTCTTTGAAGTATCCTACTTCTCTTGGAATATTTAGCAGAATATAAAAAATTAAACTGTTGATATTTTTCTTATTTCTTTTTCAGATTCTTTGGCCACAAGATTATCTATCTGTCTAGTCTGTTCATCTATCTATCTACTGTCTACCTAATCTATTTTTATCTATTTAGCTATCTGTATCTATCATCCATTCTATTTTTAAAAGGTTAACTATCCCTCCTCTCTTCTTTACAGAAAACTTTACACCTTCATTTTTAAAAAGAACAATGGCTAAGAGAAATGTTCACAAAATTTCCTTTCTCACCGGAACTCAACCTATATATTTGTATGTTTTGTTCATACAAGCGAAGAGAAAGCACAGGGCAGGACCACCCTGCATCTGTCGGATTATCACTTGCTCTTTCTGGGCACCTTGATCATTAATATCCTAGCATTTAGCATCATGTTCTCCGAAGAAGGACATAGCTCTCTTCCCCCATGCAGCTACTACTTTAGCTTTCTTTCCATTGTACTGTTTGGTCTTTTTCTCTTCCAAAAAACAAAAGAGCACTTTCTCACTAGAGCTCTGACATACCAAACATGGCCAATAGAAGTCCATGATTTTGTTTTTCTTTATGGCTGCATAGTATTCCATCATGTATATATATACCACATTTTCTTTGTCCAGTCCACTTTAAGTGGGCATCTGGGTTGGTTCCATGTTTCTGCTATTGTGAAAAGTGCTATGATAAATGTGTGTAAGCAGGTGTCTTTTATGTAGAGTGATTTATGTTCCTCTGGGCATACTCCCAGAAGAAGGATTGCTGGATCATATCGAAGCTCAAATTTCAATTCTTTAAGAACTCTCCCCACTGCTTTCCACAAAGGTTGAACTACCTTACATTCTCACCAACAGTATAGAAGCGTTCCATTTTCTCCACACCGATTGTTCTCCAGCATCTATTGTTTTTTGACTTAATTCCATCCTTACTGGAATTAGATGGCATCTCATTAGTTTTGATTTCTACTTCTCTGATGATTAGTGAGGCTGAACATCTTCTCATGTGTTTGTTGGCTGCTTGTATGTCTTCCTTTGAGAAGTATCTGTTCATGCCTTTGCCCACTTTTTAATGGGGATGTTTCTTTTTTTCCTTTCAATTTGTTTGAATTCCTTATATGTCCTGGATGTTAGGCTTCTGTCAGATGCAGTATTACTTTTTGATGGATAATTATTTTTCTTCTTTTTGTTTTTGAGTTGGAGTCTCACTTTATCACCCCAACTGGAGTGCAGAGGCAATCTCTTGGGCACCGTAGCTTTAACCTGTTGGGCTCAGGTGATTCTTCCGCCTCAGTCTTCCAAGTAGCTGGAACCACAGGTACATACCACCATGCCTGGCTAATTTTTTATTTGTTGTCGAGACAATATCGTACCAAGTTGCCCATGCTGGTCTCGAACCCCTGAAAACATGCAATCCTCTAGCTTTTGCCTCCCAAATTGCTGGGATTTCAGGCATGAGCTACCGTGCCTAGATCTTTCTTCTTTTAATTGAACCTTTCAGTAGCATTTGTCATGGTTGATCAATCCCTCCCTTTTAAAACATTTTATTCTTTGGTCTTCTGTTTCTTCATTCTTTCACACTCACATTCTTTTTCTTTTACCACCTGTGGTGCTCCTTATTCATCTTCTGCCTGTCACCCCCATTCCAGATCTAGATTCTGGCCTGTTCTTTTCCTTCTTCCTTCTCTATTGACAACTTTTTCATGGTAATCCTGTTCAGTTGATGGCTTTATATATCATCTACAGGCTTAGATCTCTTGTGTCTGTCTCCATAGTCCAAATCTCTTCCCTAAGTTTTGTTTCATAAATGTTGCTGCCTGCTTTACATCTCTACTTGGGTGTCTTGTAAGGATCTCATGGTTAAAATGACCCCAACAGAAGTACAGGCATTCTAACTTCATCCATCTTTTGCCAAATTCCTCTTTCCCAGATCTTCTCTATCTATTAGAACTACCAAATTCTAATTGCTCAATCCTGTGAGACAGAGTTTGACTCTGACTCAAAAAAAAAATGTAATTACAATAAAAATGTTTTTGACTTGAAAATTAAAAAAACTTAGGAGTAATCTTTGAGTTCTCTTTCCTTCACAGCCCACCTTCAATCCATTGGTAAATCAACCCAACTCCCCACTGAAATATCCCTAAGCTGCTATATCTCCCATCGCTCCTGCTGTTTGTCTAGTCTAAGGTCCATTCTTGATCACCAAGACTTCTATAACCTCCTCATAACTCGTCTCCACTCTTATCTTCTTCAGTCCAATCTCTGAAGAGCAGGTTGAGTACACTTCTCAAACATAGATGAGATGATGCTGTTTCCACTCAAAGGCATTCCCTTGCAAGGAGAATAAAATCCAGTCTCACTGCAGCATTCCAGCTCTTACATGATCTACTCACATTTCTAACACATTTCCCTCAGCCTCTCTATTGTTCAGCCACACTGGTGGTCATACCGTACTGGGAACACACCATACTTTTCATTATCCTAGGGCCTTGTCATTTACTGCACTTTCTGTCTGCAATTCCTTTCTTAGATCTTCATAGTAGAAGCTTCCTTCTCATCATTCAGGTTACCTCCTCAGAGACACCTTCTCTGAGACTCTTGAAAAAATGTGCATTCCCTTCCTATTCAATTACTCTCAACATGTTATTGTATTTTCTTCAAGGAGTTAAAAAGATTTTATGTTGTCTGAATCATTCACTTGGGTGCTAATTATTTGTTTTCTCCTCGGGAATATAAGCTCTCTGAGGGCAGAGGAAATCTGTCCTCTTATTTATTGCTGTATCTTCTGTACTTCGAACCATGCTTGGTGTGTGGTCTTCACTCATTTAAGATTTGCTAATTGAAGTAGAGTATAGAAGGTCGAATAGTAACATTTATAATATAATAGAAAGCATCTGGTAAATTAAAGCAAACTGACCCATTTTTAGCTGAGAAAATATTTCCCAGAGCACAAGAGATAGGAACATAAGTCAGGCTTTTTTTTTCTTCTCCTTTTTAGCTTTCGTAGAGATAGATTTGTGTTTGAATCAAACACGGAGAACATCTCCATTTGTATCCACAGTGGCAGAAAAATCTTTGTGACCTTGGAAATTGCATCTGCCTCTTGAAAGTTCTGTTGAGGATTACATGTCAAAGCTGTATGTTACACCTGAGTTTCTTGGTCTCATGTGAAGGAGTAAGAGGTGGATGATATGTGTGATTTGCTTTCTGTTAGAAAAATCTAAACTTTCTATCTAAACTGAGTTACTACACACAGCTCCTCTCATCTCCAAGAAAAAGAAGGATATAAATTCGTGATGTGCTGATGTCATGTGCAGTGTTTCAATATGTTTATACCATTGAACAGCCTAAGATCTCCTACATTTCTGTATAAATTACTGTTACATATCAATAATAATTCTGAAATTCCTGAAAGCATAATCTTTCAACAAATATTTGACTTTAAGCTGCTCTTAATGTTAGCAGGTAAAGCTTTTGTTTTATCATTTCACAGTAGAGTTGATATTCGGAATAAGAAATGCTGAACAAATCAGCAGTGAAGACAAGCTGGAATCCTAATACAATGTGATAAGTGAGGCCCCAAATGTTCATTAACCCCAAATGCTCAGTAGCCTTATTTTGATGTTGACAGATGGGTGTGAAAGCCTGACAGTTTATTGGATTGGGTTTTTAGGCAGTTGGCTGCCAGATATAAAAGTTGATGCAAGTTCAGGGTACCATTTTGATACAGTTGTCCTCTCAGGCAGAATTGTAAGGAGTGATTCTGGGTTCTGGGACTGATTGAAACTTCCAGGAAAGTGGTGGCAACTTTGAGAATCACCTGATGAATTCATTTCCAGGGAAACTGGGCAGAAGAATATGTAGGAGGTGGGTACCCACCCTCTGTCTCCCATTTCTCGGGAGACCGTTCCCTGCCTGGTCCTCACACTTTTCCAGAAGAACATCACTTTATCAGTGCCCACTGACTTGGAGGATGGGGCTGGCATCGGTCCCACTGCAGAGCACCTTGACCAAAGGTTTACTTTACTTTGATTAACACGTGGAACTTTAATTGCATAAAAAAGTCACACATAAATATATCTTTGAAGGTTCCACGTATTGCCACTATATCAGACTGCTTTAACAGCTCATTCTAATCTAGCCAGTAAGTGTTCCTGCCTCACCAAGCATTTACTGACAGAAATGTTCCCACTAAATTTAGAAAAGAAATCAAATCTGCATTATGAAGTTAGCATCGTTGTATTTCTAGTTTCACGCATGGTGGGTCCCTTATAGAGCTATACTTAATGTATTTCTAATTAGAAAAGAGGGGGAATGTGTCCAAAGTTTTCTCAATATTGTCTTATCATTTGTTTCTGTTTGTGCAGCTCACCATGTTAAAACGGGAACTTGCGAGGTGGTGGCACTCCACAGATGCTGTAATAAGAACAAGATAGAAGAACGGTCACAAACGGTCAAGTGCTCCTGCTTCCCTGGGCAGGTGGCAGGCACCACACGTGCAGCCCCGTCTTGTGTGGATGGTAAGACTCCTTCTGTTGCTCTGTGTGATGGCAGAGTTGGGACTGCTTAGCATGGGAACCCCACTACAATGCTATTGATAGGATCCATCCTGTGGGACCACACTGTAAATCACATGGTTTAAATTAGATTATTGGGAGGGGACATTTTCTTTTGTTTATTTAAAAATTTTTTTTTTAAATTTTAAAGATGTGGGGTACAATTCAAGGTTAGGTATAGAAAGGTTGATTATGCAGGTACCCTTGTTGATGAGGTGTGCCTCTCCCTCCCCTAGCAGTTTCCCTCAACTGCCAATCCCACCCCTCCTCCCCTGGTAGTTTCCCACTACTGCCAATCCCTTTCTTATAGTATTATGATCATTGTTCAAGGAGGGAGGGGGCATTTTGAAATCTAAAATTCTTTAAGAGTTCTGGCACAAAAGGCATTAAGTTCCATAAAATCAGTGTGCTTCTTATTTTGAGACTATGAAATGTTGATTTCCTGGCGGATGGTGGAGTGGGGGTATGTATTTCTTAATCAAGAAAGGAGAGACCAAATGAATGATTTTATGGTTTTGCTTCTTAAACCCCTGAATATTCTTAAGACTAAAAAGTCAATGCTGTATATATGAATAAATAGTTAATTATAAATAGAATTCACATAAATTATCCATTTTTATGATCCATCAAAATATTAATTTCTTTTTTTGAGGGTTCACCTAACCACAGCAGAATATAAATCTTTGTATAGGTCTATTTAATTGATGTTACCATGAATAGTAACTCGTTAAATATTCACCTTAATGTGGCATATTCCTTGTGATGAGGTTACAGCTCGCAGTTTAAAAAAAATGTGTTAACTTCAACAAACACCCTTCTGATTTTCAGCCTACTCGCTCATGGGAAATATTATATTGATTATAAAATATTGACTCTAAACTGGTTACGGGTCTGATTTCATACATGTTTATATAAAAGTGCATACATACATTCACATAGTTTCTTTTTAATATATTAGTTTCTATGAACTAACTTTGTTACTTGAAAAGTTCTTCGACATCATGCCTATGGTTAACAATACTGCATTGTACACTTAGTAATGTGATAAGAGGGTTGATCTCATGTTAAATGTCCTCATCGCAATTTTTTTAAAAATTAAAAATAAAATTTCTTTTAGTGAGAAAATCTCGAAAGGTTTGGTCTTTTTGAATTAAAAAAAAATCAATGACTTTCGTTCCCTTTTAAATATGAACCCAGAGAACTAACAGTCACAAATAGAAACATTGAGTCGATTTTTCTCTCCCCTGTAGCTTCAATTGTGGAACAGAAATGGTGGTGCCATATGCAGCCATGTCTAGAGGGAGAGGAATGTAAAGTTCTTCCGGATCGGAAAGGATGGAGCTGTTCCTCTGGGAATAAAGTGAAAACAACTAGGGTAAGTGGACAGCTAGCTTGGGGTAGCAAAATGTCTCTGAATTAAATGAGAATTGTGCATGCGCAGTAGCCACTGTAAGTGGTGGTTGTGGGACAAGAGAGTATAGTTAGACTTAGAATGTTTTTTTCTCATAGTTCATTGTTTTCATAGGACATTTTTATTTCAGTCAGAATAGCATGTTCTTTAGATTACCATCAGCTGTCATGTTATCTCATAAATAAACACAGTTTGTTCCTTCATGAGATACTGAGAATGAACTCCCCTCTTCCCACTGAGAATGCATGTTAAATTCTGGGAAGGTGACCCCAATCCCTTATTCTTTTGGTAATCTGAATAAATTCAGAAAAAATATTTTATATATTACTCTTAATAAAATTTCTAATTAAAGTTCTTTCAGTTTTATGAAAGTAATTATTTTTATCTCCCTGATTTCTGAATTGTTAAATCGTTTTCTAAAGGTTTACAGTCATTGTAATGGGCTACTATAGAAGAATTTCAGAATCTCAGGGTCAATATAAAAAGAATACTTTAAGACACATTTCAGCTTTGCCATGACTGACCTCTGGGGGTTGGGAGAGAAGTTAAAAAAAAAAGCTTTATTCTTTGATTTCCTAATTAGCTACATAGATATAGATATTGTGGACTAGCAGAATTATTAATTTTTTTTATTTGAGGGTAAGCAGACTATTGATTGCAATTGAATAAATGATGAATATAACAGACTAATAATGGAGTGAAAGGATGTTTTACAAAAAGTAACATAAAATTAGAAATCAGCTAATTATGACATTATTTGATGTAGCATGTTTTTTAAACCTTCTCTGGATGCATTCAAGAGGATTATTTTATAATCTCATCTGGATATATAATTCAGCCTGCCAAGTAATATCTTTAATGCGTTGACTGGTCAGGCATACACAGAAGTGACTGTTTCAAGTAGCACTAGTGAAAACATATTTTGGGCTGGGCACAGTGGTTCAGCCTATAATCTCAGCACTTTGGGAGGCTGAGGCGAGAGGATTGTCTGAGCCCAGGGGTTCGAGACCAGCCTGGGCGACTTGATGAGACCTCGTCACTACAATAAATCACAAAAACTAGCCGGGTGTGGTGGCGTGCATCTGTAGTTCTGGCTACTTGGAAGGCTGAGGTGGAAGGATTGCCTAAGCCCAGCAGGTTGAGACTGCGGTGACCATGAGAGTGCCACTGCATTCCAACCTGGGTGTCAAGAATGAGAATCCAACTCAAAAAATAAAAATAAAAATAAAAGTATAAAATTTTGTGAAATCATTCTTGACTCTAACCTGTTGGCATATCTTTCCAAAATCTGTTTAGCACATGATCAATTAGTTAGAGTAACTATATTATTCAGTGAGTTAGCACACGATATAATCCATATTAACTTATTAAAAACATTCTGACAATATAAAATTTTCTTATAAACTATTTATATCATGAAAATATTTACCTAACACTTTCAATTCTCAGTTCAAAACTAGGGTTTATGGAAATTCTCCAAATGTTTTATATTCTGAAACCAATTTTTAAAAATTGTGAGCTCTCTACAACCAAATTCAATGTTTTTATTATTTCAGCAGGCAAGGGAAGATAACATTTTATTGTATACTTAAAACATATACCATATACTGGACAAAAATGCTTTACACGAATTAGCTCACTAAATTCCCTTAATAGCCCAGTGAAGAAGGTAATATCTTCTTTTTACAGATGAGTAAACCCAAACTTCAAAAAACGAAGTGACTTCCCAAAGAAATATAGCTAATTAATTAGGAAGCCAGGGCTAAAAACACAGTCTTGTTCCCAAACCTAATATCTTAACCAGTATTTTATACTAGGTAATTTAACTTATTCTTAAGTAATTTAGTGATCAAGGTTTCCTATAGTTCTTTTCATATGAGGTCGACCTTTAAAAATATCTTTAACTTTCTGGATCATTGAAATGAAAAGGTCAAGACCATGCAATCTAAATCCTCACCAAAACAAAATTTTTTTAAAAGTGCTGTTTCACTCCCTGTTGGCCTGTTGGCTATATTTTCAATGATCCAAACTTAAAATTGAGTCTCTGCTTCACAAATTCTCCCTAACGTGATGAAACAAGATGGATAAGAGCCTGAGAACTCACCAGTAGGAAAACCACATTTAAATCCTATAGTTTTTTTAGCTTGTGAGACATGATCCTACATGTAGGGGATAGCACTTTCTATTTTTCTTTCATCTCTTTTGCCCTGAAGAACAGCTGGTAATGGAGGGCCTCATTTAAGACATCGTAGAGAGGATTCATGCAACAGTAGGTGTTTGGATTAAATTACTTTTAAGATCGCTTTCAATTCTAACAGTCTCTGAGTCCCATTTAAAAAAAGAAAAATCATCATGTATAAGAGAAGAAGACTTGAAAAAAGGAGCTTCTTAAGTACCATCAAAGTAAATTATTATCCTTTTTTATCACAAGAAAAAAATGTTGCTTATGAAAATGCAGCTACTTAGACATTTTCAACTAAAGGAACATCATGGCATTCCAAATGGTGAGGCAAAAATGTGCCATTATGTTTGGCTCACGGAACAATTTGGGCAAATTATCCTGATGCCACAGAAGCAACCATTTTCAAGGTCATCAGGTTATTATTGCTCTACCATCCCCACTGGAAGAGTGCAAAAACTGCAGGGGATAAGAAAAATTCTTAAAATAGCTCTGGGCACTGGGCACAATATTACTTTTCCCACAGCAGAAGTGTTGGACAGAAGTAGTTTCTGCCAGGCATGAATAGCAGCAATATGATGAAAAACAAACCCGGGTCATTATTTTAATAATTGGTATTATTGCCTGTCTTAAATAAGATGGCTGTGCCCACCATGAGCCAAGAAGTCACTGGAGCCCTGATTTGGCAGGTCCCGGGCATTCACGGAAAATCCAGAAGTTATGTAGGGACAGGCTACAAAGTAACTCAAGAACTGCTCTCAGCTAAAAGTGATTTGTGTTTCTTATGCACGATATGTTGATCTTACTGGATTATCACTGCAAGCAAAATGGCTTGAGAAATGATTAAAATGTGCAGAAATGTACACCTTCCCTTATAATTTGCCTATATCCAACCTGGGGGACCCGGATACGCCTAATGTTAGAAAAAAAAAAGCGGTCAGTCAATAACAGCAACAAGGCTTGCATGTCCTCAGCAGAGATGAGTGGTACCTTCCAGAACTGACAAATTACCAAGGGGTGAGTGAACTTCTCCTTTTAAGAGTAATTTGGAATCTGCACTGTATTTACGACAATTGTGAATTATATTCTTCTTTTGTATTTGTGTTGGATTCAGGAAGCTTTTTTGTTCTGATCCATTCTCTATTGGTCTAACAAGGAGAAACGTGACAAAGAATAGGAAGCCATTTTTGGAACTTCAGTATTTTGTTTTCTGCATGTTTTTCAAAACATCAAACATGTAATTTGGAGAGAATGGAGAATGCGACATTTGTTTCTCCAACCCTATTTCTCATTCTAAAGGCGAAAAAGTTATGACTGTTTGTGAAATCCGTAACCATCTCTTGTATCACTTTTAAGATCTCCTAAGTTTAAAAGTAAGAAAGGAGAAGCCATATAAGCCTTTCGATTTTAAACTCACTTTCAAAGATAAATAGTAACGAACTTTTCAAAGAGTCATTAATAAAAGAATAGTCTTTCCAGTGTGAAAGAGCACATAATTATATGCTAATTATACAATACAAAAGTAGCAGAGGGGAAAGGTGCTGTAAAGCTTGTAAGATGTTAGAAAAAAAATCTTTAGCATTGTTGGAATCATCATTAAAAAACAGACTGTGATTCATTCCTTTTAGTGTTTTGATATTCTTTCTATATGGAAGATCTAAAGGAAATAATATTCTGCTTTTAGGATTCACAGCTCTTGCATGCTGTTATGGGCACCAAACTCCAGATTACAGTAGTCATTGTAGTTTTTATGTTTACCTCTTACCTAAGGAAAAATGAGCTTAATTTCATATTATACAATACTCTGTATTGTCATTAGAAAGATCCTCTTTGTGAATCAAAAATTTCAGGTCTGTTGGCTTTTCATATGCTTGAGAAGAAACATTCTGAGTAATTTTTAGCTAATTGGAATTATTTCATCTTTATTCAAATGTTTAAAGTGCCTTAAGCAGATAAGAACTCCAGAATTTTTTAATGTCCCTTCAAATATAAATGAATTTTTAAGGGCATATATTATGATTTTTATTTCATTGTATAGTGCAATAGAAATAAACAGATACTAAGAATTTCCTATGCATAGCATTATATAATAACACTGCTCCTATTGCAGTCAAAACAACAAAAAACAGAGAAGCATTGACTTAGCTCTTCTTGTGTGGCGGGCACTCTGCTGGGTACAGGTATTATCTTATTTCGTTTATCCAACCACAGTAGATTTTGAGGGGAGTACAGAGATGTATGACATGATCCTGGTCCACAAAGAGTATGGCATTAAGTTAAGGAGTGAATTGTGTACAGTTATTCTTTTCTTTATCCATATGAAGTCCATTGACAATGAACTTTGGAATCAGTGGCAAATGGAAGTCAACAGAATTGTTATAATAATAACACCGCATAAGCCTTTAGTTTGGCTTCTTCATCTCCAAGAAAATGAGAATATTGGGTGAGATTAAATCTCAAGTTCCCCTACCCAACACTTATTCCTTGATTCCATGTGGCAAGGATATTTCTAACTTCCTTTCCACTTAAATTTATATGACACTAATAACTGGCTAAACTCAGAGGATAGGTAAGTATTATTAGGTTTTAATCCTTTCACTGTAAGGGAGAAAAGAAATAGTATCTTATGATGCTTTGCTGATGGAAGCCCCAAGTTGTCCTCTTCCAGAAAGTACTGGATTTCATACTGGGGTTCAGGGTTGCGATTTCAGACCCAAGGCAAAGAAAGAACACTGCAAAAGGAAAAAAGTTCATTCCCTTGCCTCAAGGAGGTACAATTTGTATGAATT